AAAAGCGCAATATCAAATTTGGGCTTCTATTCCAGTTCTGTTCTTTTTTCTGCAGCAAACCAGTCATTACATCAAAGTTTAGAGATTATTAAACAACACAACAGACTACAAGACCGCGATTCCCATTGAACAGAATTTTACAGCACAGGAGATATTCTGCTCATTGCGTTTTGTGGGCTCTCGAAAAGAACTATCAGTTTGACCCATTCCCTGACCTTTTCCCTACATCATGTTACACGTTTCTTTTTCAATATTTATTTAATTCATTTTTAATGATTCGGCCTTAAATCCGAAGTTTTTCTTTTGAACGAGCAATGATTGGTCCAGGGTTAAAAAGTGTGCAACTTATCAAGGTCACACAGGTCACTGCTCATACAAATTTTTTAATGAACCAGAATGAAGGCTGAATTTTTTTCATTACTCTGGAGCCAGTTAATCCTGTAAACTTAAGTGACAGCTGGATATACCTTTCAAACATAATTTCCCCATCCTTTGGCTGACATTGAAATGACCGAGAAGCATGGACAGACACTCAATGGAGGACTTAAGTAATCAATTGATATCTCCCACTAATTATATAAAAGCAACAACAAAATTACATTTATAGAGCGCCTTTCACGTCGGGAGGATGTCCCAAAGCTCTGAACAGTCAGGTGTAAAACACATTTCATTGCATATACAGTTTCCTTCCAAAAACAGAAATACTAGAAATTCACAGCAGGTCAATCAATCAGCATCTACAAGTGAAAAATAGGAGACTTGGGAAGTTCCTGGCAAACAAATTGTTACCATGTTCTGGATAAACTTGTAGTAATTATGTCATAATCATTATTTTTCTGGAATGAACATCACCAAGAATAAAATACAGAACACTGGCTTGAAGGATAACAGAATACATCATTTCAAACGCTGAAAGAGTGTTTTAATTATAAATGAATCATGAAGAAATGATTTCAAATAATTTTCAATCTAATTCCAGGCTTCAGGTGATTTATGAACTACTAAAGCTTCATTCTGTTGATATTGACCATCCATCTGAAACCCTGTGTTATTGTACTCTGTAATCAGTCTTTGATATTGAATCACTCCGATACAATGGGCCTTCAAGTTTCATTTCTATAGTTTCATAATTATTCTTCTGATACCCTCCCAAACCTTAAAAATGCATTTTTAATCACTCAAATGTCTCAAAGGGACATTTGGAAAACATTTACAAATTAAACTAATTGAAGGTTAATTGGTATAATCAGCACATTTATTAGGGCATACAAACAACACAGCAATCTAAAATCTCTAGCCAGAATTAGTACAGAATGTTTGCAATGCGGATTACTCTTCCTAAATTATTCGGTAATGCTTTTTAATATTAGGCGTCTTAATGGCTTGTTGCGGCTTGGGCCAATTTTAATAAGGAAAGCAGTTTCACAAAATGGACTCCAGTGGCACCGAGAGCATAAAGAAAAGCTCTGGAAATTTGAAGGAGAAAAAAAAAGCCAATAGGAAAACCGCAGAGAAGTTAGGCGTAAGAAAACTACAACAACAACAACAACAAGATTCCATTTATAAAGCGCCTTTCACGTCAGGAGGACGTCCCAAGGCGCTGTACAGTTGGGTCAGGACCAGAGCAGGGGGTAATGGTCAGGGTGAGGGGAGGGAAGGGAGGGAGTGAGGAGGGGGGAAATGGTCAGGGTGAGGGGAGGGAAGGGAGGGAGCGAGGAGGGGGAAGAGAGTCGAGAGGGGAGCTGAAGGCTCGGTCAAAGAGAAAGGTTTTGAGACCGGCCTTGAAGGAGGAGAGGGAGGAAGCGGCGAAGGCACTGGGGGATGGAGTTCCAGAGCCTCGGGGCTGAGAGGCTGAAGGCCCGGCCACCGATGGTAGGGCGATTGGGGCGGGGGCGTGGAGCAGACCGGAGCCAGAGGAACGGAGGGTACGGGCGGGTAGGTAGGGGAAGTATAAGTAAGTATAACTAAAGTATTGTAAGTATTGTAAGTATAACTAAAATTATACTTACAAATGACTAAAATGCTAATGGGGAACAGAATACAGGACAGGCAAAAAAAGGCAAATACAGGTAAGGTTTTTTTTTATTATTTACTTTTGAAACTTAGGATTACACTACAATGTTAAATCCCTTCCGGATGTTCGAGTAGCATTATTGTGCGAGTTTCACTCAGTTGGTAGAACTCGCACCTCCATGTGAAAAGGTTGTGGGCTCAAGACCGACAGCAGAATTTGATCTTATAATCTATCATTATACGAAGGTACAGCAGTGGGTTGTGCTGTATTGTTGGAGGTGCAATGGTTTGGTTCAGACTTTAAAATCAAGATCCCATATGCGTGATCAGGTGAACGTTAAAACATTCCATGACACTATTCAACAGGAAAAGGGACTCTGTCCCCGGTTCCTGGCCAGAAATCCCAGATTAATTGATTATTTATCCGATTGCTTTTCCAGGGTTAATAATTCCTTCAAAAAAAAATTGGTCACTCAATCCACGACCGTTTGTGGGACACTGACTGCTGTGCGCAATTGGCTGCATGTGTTTTGCCCAGTCAATTCACTTTACGGTATTCTGTGCAGAACTTTGGAGGTTTCAAAGACGTAATAAGGTGCTATATCAAATGCATTATTATTATTTTTATTATTATTATCATCATCATCTTTCTCATGGTCAGTTGTGGTACTTTGCTGGCTCAAAGGACCGTCACATTATCCTACAAGAAATCACTACACTTAAATTAACATTGTAATCATCTTTGAATTCAAGATCCTCATCCTCATCTACAAGGCCATTCACGGCCTCGCTCCCTCCTACCTCTCCGACCTACTATCCCCATACCTACCTGCCCGTACCCTCCGTTCCTCTGGCTCCGGTCTGCTCCACATCCCCCGCCCCAACCATCGGTGGCCGGGCCTTCAGCCTCTCAGCCCCGAGGCTCTGGAACTCTATCCCCAGTGCCTTCGCCGCCCCCTCCCTTTCCTCCTTCAAGGCCGGTCTCAAGACCTTTCTCTTTGACCTTCAGCCTTCAGCTCCCCTCTCGACTCTCTACCCCCTCCTCGCTCCCTCCTTTCCCTCCCCTCACCCTGACCATTTCCCCCAATGCTCGGGTCCTGACCCAACTGTCCAGCGCCTTGGGGACGTCCTCCCGACGTGAAAGGCGCTCTATAAATGAAATCTTGTTGTTGTTGTTGTTGGAAGCACTTTGAGTGAACATTATAAAATGTCATAATACAATTTGTATCTTCGCTGTATCGTTCTGCACAAGCTGAAAATGTATGCAGCAGTTGGGTCAGGGAGATTTCCTAGATGTGTTGGGAATCTAGGGGTCTTTTGTAAGCCATCACATTGATCTTCTTGAGTATTATGGTTTTAATTAAATATATATACACACACACACACACATATATATATATATATATATATAAAACTTGCTTTACAGACATTGCTACAGCTGTCCTGTAAAGGTTCTCCCATTGCGCAGAAGGCAGATGTATGTCGAATAGCTGATGAGGAAGCACTGAGACTTGAAACACATTACCATGATTCCAGGTTCGTGACACTCGTTCATATATTGAAGGTTTTGAAAACACCTTGATTAGTATGCAGACAGGTAAGCAGCTGCTGCTGAAGCTCCCTCCAGCTGGTGGAATCATTACTCAATGGATAGGAATGTATGTCCAAACCGCGAGTAGGAGGATAATGCTCATACATTTCATGCTGAGCTGTGCTTCTCACTTGGGAGTTTGCAGCGAGTTCTGCTATCCACCCAATAAGAGTTCACAACTGCACTTGTCGGATATCAATTGACCAACTATTGATTGATTTGCTCTCTGTAAAAATTCACCTCCAAGTGTTATTATTAGTGTTGGAGGAATCCTTTCCTTTATTTGTGCTCAAGTGTATCCCTGTGCAAATCAACTATTTTTTAAAAGCCCTGATGCCTTTGATTCTCATTTTTGGGGAAATACATTTAGGGAATACTTTCAAAACTTCCTCAATTATCTTTTTCTCCCAGCAACAATTTTCATATACTTCATTTCATTCTCATTTCACTTCATTCCTCTCTTGGTGTTACTAAATTAAAGCAAGTTCATGTCTCACAAATGTTCAAAGCAGTAAAAATCTTACTAACACTCAATCGGTGTTTTGTTCACCTAATCTTTTTACTTCAGAAGAGCCTGGAGGGATTTGATGGTAGAACTCTGATGGCATTTGCTATGGATACTTAGTTGTACAACAGGATTGCTGCAGAAACATTGATATTAACTGACATGTCGGTGTCATTTCCGTTGAGTCATTCATACATGTAATACAGCAACTTCAGTGGAGATAGGTGACTGGGAATATTCAATTGCTGATATTTACCCTTGCAGATCTGCTAAAGCAAAGCTGCATACACATAATTTGATAAAACAAATGGATTTTCCTGCAGAGTGTAAGCAAAAGGGATGGGTAGATAAATTCACCATCATTTGCCGTTCTATCGTCAGGCAGTGTGTGTTCAAGCTCTCTGTAAGACCTGTGCTGCCTCCTCTATAACAGTTAACCCCAATTTGGTATCATCTCGCAATGTAACAAACTTAAACTGGGTCTGTGAATCCAGACTATTAATGTAAACAACGAACAGACCCTGAAGTATCCCATTTAATACTTAATAAACTGGGGATGCACACATACAGCTAATTTGGATTGGGGCCAATATACATTAATGAGTTCCCATCTACTCTCTAACGAAAACAATGGATCCAGTTACACATCACCAGCCATTCGTTATTTTTATTCCTTCCACTTTTTGCATTCAATAGCTAGTATTCTATTCATTTGAGTATATAAGACAAGGAGCCTACTCGTATTGATCATTGCATATGTACACCCAAGGACAGAGATGGAAAAATAAACAAAAGTATTCTGCAGGCTTTGACACGAGTACATTAGTTGACAGAAATTCCAGATTAAACATTAAAACTTCTTTAAATCACAAGTAATTAAACACATCATACCTCAGAGTGAATTGCTCCACTGTTGAATTTGGTGCCAGAAACACAGATATACTGAGGATCTCACCAGGTTTCAATGGTCCTTCTGGTAAACGAATGAACACATTATTGTCAAGCCTGTGCTCCTGCATTAACTGAGCATGTGGAGGTTGGTACAAATTGATACTTCCTATTCGTAGCAGTGGTTGTTGGTGAGATCCTTCCTGTCGGATATTGTTCACTTTACGAGATGTTGCATCATCGCATTCTCCATTTCCATCTGGAGAATGCAAGGTATAGTAGAGTTCAGCTTGAAGATTTTCATTAACTGTATCCATGTTGTCCACGGACTTCTTTCTTCCGAGAGTTGAGGTGGAGGAACTAAACCAGGCAAGGGGCAGGTTAACTTGCACCAGGCACATGGCTAAGATCCCACTCAGCTTGCAGGAGCTTTTAATCTCCCGGACATCATCACGAAAGGCATGAAGTCTAACACACGGCAGTTTGTCCACAACGTCAAAATCATCCCAATCACGGCCTGCCACATAGAATAGCACCTGGACAAGAGGCTGATTGGAGGGCACCCTCTGTTGAATTATAAAGGCTCTGACCTTCCAATTCATAGTGAATCGGTCTAGCATTTCCAATGTGCTAGTTGGCTGAAGTATATCTTTGGGGAGGGTCCGATCCACCGAGAAAGGGCCTAAAGAGGCATTGACTACTGGAAGTTCTTTTGTCTGAAATACAACAAAGTGTTCTAAGCGCTGCAATGACCTGGTACTATTCCACTGTGGATTCGTTTTAGCCTCCTTTAGGAAAAAGGCAAGCTGTACATTTGAAAGTTTGTAGCTCACTGGAAGATAGGCTGGGGATGTATAGATGCTTTGCAATCTGTCTGAACTGGTAGGCAACACTTTGCTGTCAACTGCAAGAAAAGACAAAATGGATCTTTTTTAAAATAAGAAACACAAATAATCTTAATTCCTCATTACATTTTACACAGTTGGTATGTAAAGTATACAACTTACTAACAGCACGGAATAGAAAAGGTAAAAAAAAAGGTTTTTTTTTCCTGGAGCAAGCTGACATTCTACAAAGGGTTAGCAATATCTGGTTTGTGCCTTGCTACCACCCTTGCAATTTTGTGTGCACAATCCACGAAAGGTTCAATTCTGGAAAATATGAACCACAACTTCATTTTAATCATCAGGCAGGTGGCTCTTATCATAGAGTATTGCAGCACAGAAGGAGGCCATTTGGCCCATTGTGCCTGTGCTGGTCATGGTCCACCTTGTGGGGCTTTCAGGATAGACAACTTCAAGGCAGAGAGATAGTGTGGACTGAAATGTGAGGAGACCATACTGCTACTCTTTACTGCCACAGTATATACAATGACCCAAGAGGTGATATCCGTGTGCTGCTGAAATAATTTATCCAGTTCATCCATTCCACACACCTACTAGCAGTAAGCCATGTATTAACTTGTAGCATATGCAATCATATAATAACCACATATTTATTTCTTTTTCTGTGCGTTAATATTGTAAAACCCTGAACAATAGTGCCAACACTACTTCTTTAGTGTATGATTCAGCTAGTTTTTAGAAGTACATGACACGCAAGTCATACAGAAGAATTTTGCAGAAAGCATCAGGAAACAACGAAAAAAATATTCTTCACTTTTATTGCTGATCTATTGGAATGACGTGATTGCTAAGGTTCCCTTGAGACGTCCATTATTTCACAAAAGCAATATTGCACACGTAATATCTTGAATTTCCTGTAGCAAGTGTGGTCAACTGGGACCCAAGCACCATCTGTTGCCTTGCTCTGATTAGTTTACTAAAAAGCTTGCCTAATATTCTCTGCTAATTTAACTTGAATACACACGATGGATCTGCAAGTTTAGGTTCATCACCACCGCTGATAACAAAATCAAATAATTACCACATGCTAATGGCGTCAATTTAATAGTCTATAAAAAGTGTCATTTTACAGTAGCAGCACTAAAACAACAACTGTCACAGGGGATGGCAAAGACAGTAACTGAACATAGATTTAGTTTTATCGCAATAAAATCGAAACGCATTTCCCCTCATATTGTATTTTTTTTTAAAAAATGGATCTTTCCATTTGCAGATTATCTTCTGCTTTCTTCCCCACATTCTTTCTTCCGTACTGTAATTATACCACCATGGCAGCATGGCTCAGTTGGCAGCAGTCTTGCATCACAAGTCACAGAGTTGGGGGTTCAGGCACTATGTCTGAACTTTGAACTCATTATCTAGAGTGACACTCCCAATGAAGTCCTCGGGGTGCACTGCATTGCTGGAGGAGCCAGCCGTGCCTCGGATAAGATGTGAAATTGACATCTCATCTGTCTGTTCAGGTGGACGTTAAAGATCCCATGGACCCGCTCAAAAAGAGCAGGAAGTTTTCTCAAAAGTTGCCGTGGCATTCAGCATTCTCAAACCACATATTCCACAAACCTAAACGTGCAGAATAATTTGCTCCTGAGCTCAGTAATGTTATGAAAGGAATTGATAAGAATGGATGTGGAGCAGGTGAAGCAGTTTGAAACCCACCGATTATCCATATGAAAACAAACAATTGACAGATTTGTCTGAAGGGTTTTGTTCTATTGATATACTGTAATATGATAATACTTTTTCAAACAGAGGAATCGAAATAAGAAACACACCAGGGCAGACAACTTTGGTCCCAGAATTGTTTGCTGTTATGCTACAGATGTTTAGGTAGCAGTGACATCTGAAGTTGCTTGAAAGCGTGGAATGAGAAAACCCCTTTGTCACTGAGGATTAAGGTATTTGAAGTGAACAGTGGTGGAGAGGATCCAGCCAGATGCCTGGAGGCAAGTTGCTATTTTTTTTCATTAGAGCAGCAGAAATGCAGACCAGTAATATAAAAAAGAACAAGAACATTATTTGTTAGTTTTCCCACGAATAGTTCTTTATGCTCTTCCTTAAAAATCAGAGTCCTAATATACTAATTATTATTCTTAAATAATGATCTTTTTCAACAGGATATTTGAAATATAGCACTGATTTCAGCCCATTTAGTTGGTAATAAACTCATATTAAATGCTAAATTGGATTATGTCCAGCAAGAATAAACCTTGAATTTAACTTGTATGTTTTAAGGTGGTATAATAACAGCATGCAACTGGAGGGCAACTCTGAATAGTGCTGTGCTGCTTACCAGGAAGCTCATAGGGAGATTGTGATACCTGCTATCACCCTAGCGAGGGACTTGGGATGAAGCCTGCGATACTTCCTAGTCAGCTCCTGTTAACCTTGCATGCCAAAGACCTAACTGGTTCGGTGATCTTAGCTTGACAAGTAGTGGGAAGCTTGCCAACAGTTAATGATAAGCTGTGCGGTTTTAGCTGGTTGAACACCAGCAGTACTCCAACTCACTCTGGGGACCCTAAGCCTTGGCTCTCGGCAACCTGTGCTTAATACTACCTGGAATTAGCAAAGTCGGGTGCATTCCTCTCAGGAGAGAGTGCACATTCCATTCCCGATAGGGAAACTTCCCTGTGCAGGTGGTGCACTTACTGGAACTCTGCCTAATGTTGATACTCTTAAGCATCGTGATGGGTTTCCACATGCATCAGCTAACCAAACAAAATATGCTTCTCAGCATAGGATTTCTATATCCAAAGTAGTAGAACTAAAACTCAATTGCCTGCCAAGTACAGCTGTTAGAAAATCATAGCATTTTCATTCAGATGCAGGATTAGTCGCATCACAAAGCTCTCGTGTCCACAGAATAAAATTGGTTGCCACTTTTCCACTCATAAGCACACGTTACCCGGAAAGTAAAAGGCTTGGGAAACCGAAAATGTGTTCTCCTGCAGCACAAGGCACTTTAAAGGCTAAAAATTAGGAAACTACTACATATGAATATCTATACAAAAAGATCACATGAAAAGATTCTACACTTAAAACACCCCCGTGAATACTTTTTGCTAATTTATTAAACTATTGGGATCTAAAATTTGATGCTCAAACTGGATTTGCTGTGTCAGCTGCAATGTCTAGTTTGGGTTTCCGCCAACTTTGGATTTGCTTTTCAATTTTTCCAGACCAGAAATCACAATAAATGCAACAAATGTGGTTTGCAGGTGTTGTATTTTAAACTCCACTGTAGATGTTTCGAAGTTTACTCATACACACATAGAACATTTATAACGACATTTTGAATTTTACAGCAGCTTAAAATAAATTAGGATACAACAAGCGGCGTTTTGAAACTGCATTCCATTAAAATGCATCTTGCTAATTCAAGCAAAGATCGAGGCACTGTCAACTGACAGATAATTGGCGCACTGCATAAGAAAATACCACTTAACACTTTTCAGAGCTTCTTCCAAACATCTGAGTCCCACATATTGTGTCAGAAGCATTAGACGAGCTCAGACATGCAGCTGTGCTCACTGAACTGGATCTATGCAGCTTTGATGGACATTTTGCTTTCAGAACTGCGTGGTTAATGGCAGCAATCCACTAAACCTGGCCACAATAAAAAGACAGTAGAAATGTGTTGGGATTATTGTTTTGTTTATGAATTAGTAAATGTGTTAACTACCAAAAACAAGTTTTATTTTACACTAAATGCTTCTTTCCATGCTTCATTGTAAGTTGCCTTTAAAAGCATCATTCTTTAGTTCATGGACCTTAATGCATCAAAATTAAAAGGGATTGCTGCCAAAGTTTCAGTAAACTATTTTATACCAGAATATATTTTAAATTACTTTAAGCCTCAATTTTTTTTTAAATCGTTTACTCAAATCCCATACAGAAAATCCAATTTACTGCCCCTCAAAATAAACCAGATATCATAATGTGTTGAATTTGCTAACTAAACCAATACTGAGCACACACGTGGGTTGTGCACTTTGTTCCCAACCAAAGAGGAAAATAATCTAATATTAATTGCAATAGATTTAAAATGAAACATGAATATATTTATAAATAATTTGAGGCTTGCGTCACAAAAGTTGGCAAAACGCCACACTAATTAATCGAACCAGAAAATTGAATAATTTCTTCATAACTTAAAAGTTCTGCATTTTACACCATCTTTCTGTAGTCCTCTTAAAGGCGCAGTGAATCCCGTGAAGTACTTTGAGATGTACTCAAGACATGAGGCATACATCAAATGCAAGGGATATTAAAAACGATAAATTATCCTCCATTTGTCAAATCATAACAAATAGCTATGAATATATAAAATAGTTCCATTATAATGAAACAATTTTTTATGGAATTGGTAGTACTTGTGCGTCATATACCTGCTGAAGCTTGGTGTAAAACTATGCCAAAGGGTTATCAGACAAAAAGCACTTCCTGCACTATGAACTTCACTGCACTAAGCTTTTCATCAGTCTCTTATCATCTTTAGCCATACTTTGGATTTTTCCAGAATTGCAAACTACTATAAATACAATCTGCAATTTTATGGTAATAATGATGAACATCAAACAGCCTTCCTGATGTTTCCATAAAGTAAATCAGAAAAAACATTTTTTCTTAATATTATGCAAATTGGACATTGCCTTTTTTAATTAATCAATTTGTCACAAAGACAACAACATCCATTTGCTCATGATCATCCTGCATCTCCAAAGAATTAATTTACAAGTTTGCTGATTAAAAATCTTGTTAACAGCACAGAAGCGATGATTTATGTCTAACAGGCATCCTTTGTTGAGCATCAAACAGCTGTCTAAATCCCCTAATACAATTTCAAAAGTATTCAGCTGCACGAATGCTGCTCAATTCATCAAGCTGCACCCTTTGGGAGTGGCCAAGGAGGAGTCCGCAAAAAACCTACTGTGAAATACCAAAAATACACATCCACAGACGGAATATGAAATAAGTCACTGTCTGTCTCTCTAAA